AAAAAAAAATAAAGAAAAAAAAAAAAAAAAAAAAAAAAAACAAAATCATTAACATAAGGAGACGGGAAGGAAACGACATCGACGTCGACCAGGTAGCCGTGCGTCTCGGCGAGCAGGGCGGCAACGACCATGCCGAAGCGGGCGGCGCCGTGGGCGCGGTAGGCGGGCGTGTCGGATTCCCAGACGAGCTGGGCGTGGAGGCCGTAGCTGGCGACAATGGCGCCGTGGAGGGTGGCGATTGGGGGCGCGACAGAGGTCGAGGGGTGGCTGCTCACGAGGGTCGCGCCCTGGGGAAACGAGGCCAGGAAGGAGGGCAGCGGGGCGGGCGTTCCGCGGGCCAGGGTGCGCAGGGCGAGGACGAGGGGCGAGGGGCTTTGCGGCAGGGCGTAGAGGGGTTTGTGGAGGGAGTGGAAGAGGGCGTTGGCTGTGCCGAGGGGGACGAGGACGAGGGAGGGTCGCGGACCGGGGGGTGGCGAGGGCGAGGTTGTGCCGTTGAGGAGGTCGACGATGCCGCCATCGCCGCTGAGGAGGATGATGGTCTCGTTTTGCGGCGACGCTGCTGCTGCTGTGGTGGTGGTGTTGGTGGCAGTGGTGGTGAGAGGTGCTGCAGGGCGGGCGGCCCAGCGGGTCTCGGCAAAGTCCTTGACGCAGTGCGCCGTCTTGGTGACGAGCAGGTGGTAGCTGTCATGGACCTTGCCGGCATCGTGGACCCTGTCGGCGTCGTTGTCGACGTCGTGGGCCTGGCCGAGCAGGAAACGGAGGAGGGGCTGGAGTGCTAGGGTCCAGAACGTGGATGCCATGCCGAGGCCGGAACCTGTGGAGACGACGACGTGGATGGCCCTGTCTCGGTGAAGGTGGCGTGGCCACGACGAGAGCAGATGTTGGTCGAGTAGCTCTCGGGGCAGGGTGTCGGCGACGAAGCTGCCGATGCGGTACGGGGTGTCTGCACTGGATGCATCCTCGTGAAGGTGGACGAGGATGTAGCGCGGCGCCACAGCGTCGACGGGGATGCGGAGTGGGAAGATGGCGATGATTTCCTCGACGGGGATGCGCTGCCGCGTGTCGTTGGCGTCGAACACGACATGTCCGTCTTCGACGACGACATCCAGTGCGATGCGCGTCTCGCCGTGGACCTGAGGCACAGAGGGTGATGACATGATGTCGAATGAAGAAAGGGATGCCGAAGATGAGTGAGAGATGGCGGGCGGGAGGAGGGAGAGTCGATACTCGATGAGGCTATCTCCAGGTTTTGTAGGAGGACGTTGCCGGTGATTCCGTCGTGCTGACTGTCGCTCGTGGCGGGCGTCAGTCGGCTCGCCCAGGGCTTGATGGTCGACTGCTGCCTCGGTCTCGTGTTCTCACGTAAGGAGGGTTGTGCGACGGGACATTTTGATGAAGCATTGTGGTCCGCAATTGCGTTATTTCCCCTTATCCTTTGCGATGCGTTCCATTCTTTTGTTGTTGGGTGGATGGACCCGTGCCTGTCCATGGTACCTGCTGCCTGCCCATGGTGCCTGCTGCCAGTAAAATGGAGCCTGCTCCCTGTCCATGGTGCCTGCTTTCCGTAAAACGGTGCCTGCTCCCCGTACCATGCCCTGAAGGAAGGCACCTACGCACCCTTGATCGCTGCTTCCACCATCTGCTAGGGAACGCAGAACAACCGCAGCGCACACACACACACATCGCCGCCTAGACTCCATAAAATACAAGGTGTACTGCACATCATGAGCCCCAAGCCTCGCACAATGCTAACAGTCGGCTTCTCCTGCATCTGCATTCACCAACGAGGCCAAGGGTGTGCCCTGGGCTGCCTAAGAGGGCCTAGTGGTATGGCTTGGCTCGACAGTTTGGGTTCTCAATGAACGTTATCCAGAGACAGAAGAATCTGCCCTTTGGAAACAACCCGACACCGAGGCCACAGACTGCGTTCATCCATGTTCTATACTGATGAGGCTGGCGATGCTGGCTGGACCGAAATGACATGATTGCTGCGAGAGAATAGAACAGCAGAGCCCTGGCTGTGACCTCAGACGTGCTCAGCATCACTGCCGCCCTCGGCCACCTTGTCTTCACGTCGGGCATCGAGCCTCACGGATAGGGTAGACATGCGATCTTTATTTCTTGACTTTGCCTTTGCTCGCTGCACTGGCTCAAAACCTGCCGCTTCCATCGAGCCTGGACGCCATCTCATTTTCCCTTGGCCCTCGTCATGGGTCCCCAGTTCTCGCGCGGGTTCAGCTGGTAGCGCACGAGTTTCCTGTTGTCCCTGGACCTGCCCAGCCTGATGAGCGCATCGTCAAACACGAGCGTCTTGCGGAGGTCGGCCTCCGTCAGCGTCGCCTCGCTGGCCTCGCCCGCCGCCGCCTCGCTGGCATCGCCCATGTGCGCGTCCTGCGCCGCCGCCTCGTCGGGCGGCCTCGCCGTGCTCTCCACCTCCCTCACAACCGTGTCCTCGCCTGCGTCTTCGACAGACATCACAGCGTCCGCGGCAGCCACCGCAGCTTCCTCTGCAGCTTCCTCTGCAGCTTCCTCTGCAGCCTCCTTGTCGAAGCCCCAAGAGCCGGTACGCCGGCATCGTCGGCCGGATCTTCTCCGTCTTGACCGGCGCCTTCTGCCGCACCCACGCACGCATGATGAACCAGATCGTGTCCCACGGCGCGTCCGTCTTGATGCTGCCGGGCCTGCAGTGACTGCGCGTGACGCGGTAGCCGAGGTGCTTCAGCGCGCCGCGGAAACATGTTGTCCGGCACCTGCTGCGCGTTGATGACGCCCGCCAGCTTGGACGGCATGATGAAGAACGGGCTGTGGTCGACGCGCGCGAGC